TCTCTACTGAGTTGGAGAAGTCATAATCTTTTCACCTGCAGCCCTCAACTATTGACACCCTGCATGAATTTGTGCCATTCTCTTGGCCCCGCTAACCACTGAGATGCATTCCCTCCTCCTCTTGGATTCCTGGGTCTTCAACCTGTTTGCTACACACGGTCCTCTGACAAGGGTCTCCTTAGCCTATACAGCATCTCAGGCATTATGACTTTACTGACAAGTCTCTGTAGTCTCACCATGCATGCTCCTTGGGAATACACTTGACTGGCAGACACATCAACCAGACTCAGCTCTGTTTTCTAGTTGAGTCTTGAGTCTCGAAGTCTCTGGCCTGCCTTAACTCTTAAGCCTGGGCCTCTGCAAATTAGCAGCCAGACTCGGAGAAGTTCTTTTCCCCAACCAGGTGTCACTTGCAGGATTATCCTGTTAGGAAATTAGTCCCTTCTCTATGCTTATGTATGCAGTTTCCCATTTCAAATCTTTCCCTTCTCCCATAGCTCCAGGCACAGGGGGAAAAAAATTCAAGTTTCTACTACTCAACCAGAAACACCTTTATTTTTGAATTATTTAAATGTTCCATCTTTTCTGCCTCCCTATGTGTGGGTTTCATTCTAACAAATGCACTATAGAAAGATCTAGATGTCTATTTTATTTGATTTTCTTTTGAATACATCTGGGTTTTTTTTTTAAATCAGTAAGAAAAGGCACAAACCATGAGGAAGGCATTCAGGGTAGATTAATTGCTTATCAAGTTTTCATTCTCTCCTCAAACTATATTGAACCACTTGTTTTACATGAATTCCAAAGGCTGGCACTAGCTTTTACTTCAGGAAATAAATGACACACGGTGTTATATTTTAAGGACCATTAAAACCTTGAAATTGCACAGTGACTTAAAAAACAACAAGTTATTTAGCCTGGATAGCTTCGTAATGGTTATACAATGGGGAAATTCATTGTTAAATGACCCTCCCACTCTAACTTCACATATAATGCTGGGCAGGAAGAGGAGGGAGAAAGGCCACTAGCATCCGGGTACAAAGGGTATAATGTAAAGGGTGCAGGAACATTATGGATCTGCGTGCTAAGTAGATCGGTGGGAATGCCCCAAAGTCTTCCTCGGAATCTGGTGCTTGTTGACCCATGGTTGGTGATCAGAAACTATTTTTGCCCAGATTAATGAGGCTAGGTCGTTGCTGTTGTTTGTCATAAATCCAAAGCTCTATATTCTGTTACAGAATGTGTTCTTATCTATATGTTAATATGTTTGAGATAAGCAGCAGGAAGTAGCTATAATATTGTTAATGAAACTATTCTAATATATGATTTTGGAATTAGAGTAAGTGCCATTTGAATCCGATGCTTCTATTGTCTAATTTATCACCTTTCTAACCTTTTATTTTACACCTTCATCCAGAACATCTATGAAAGCAGTGAAACCCAGCTACCATATTAAAGGCTGAATATGCCGCGTTCTAAAATAACAAGAATGATAACATTCGAGCAAAATCACAAACCACCACCACCAATAAACAAAACCAACCCCCCCCCATTTTTATGATGAAAACCAAACTGCATTTGGGTCTATAAAGAAGCAATAATTGCTTAACTAACCAAAGTGATACAGTTCATTATTTTCTATTGCACGTTTATGTAGCTTTACCCCCTGAAGCACATACAATTCTGTTTTTTTAAATATGATTTACATATGGCACTTGAGGAGAGATGTTTTAGAAAACCATAAAGTTTTCTTCCTTGTAAAAGCAATGTCCTTTCCTGTTAATGCCAAGGATGCTTTTCCCCAAGCTCAAGACAGTGTAGCCACTAATGAGGAAAACACTGCAAGTACCTCAGTTGAATGTTTTCCTTTGTTTATCTACAGGGAGTTCATTCTGCCATGGGAAGAATCCCTTAGTATCAATGAGTCTGAAAGTGCTCAAATACTGCCAAAAGGGAAGTTGCAAAGCTTTGTGTACCTGCGGTTTAAATTAATCCAAAGCGATGGAAAAGGAACGCTATCATCCCAGAGAACATCCTTCACATCGTTTCCATTGTCTCCATTTATAAAATACCTTCCTATCTGTGTCGGTCCCGTTTGCGGTTCTAAAGTCACTGGTTGGCAATATTAGGAGATGTGCTCCTAACTGACAAACTCTGTTACTGGCACTTGCCACTTATTAAAGGAATATGATGATTTGGGGCCTGTTTGGGGTTTCCAGAGTAGTTTCAGAGACTGGCAATCAGTCCTTGAAAAACATTCTATGCCCAATAATAATGAGCACCTTCAGATGGATTTTTTTTAAAAGGTGGCATTAATTCAGAATATAAATTAAGAGAATACGTTTGATGGTGAAAAAGTACAAACCTACCCACACATTTTGGTTTCATGTATAAAATATAAATAGCAAATGAACTCTCTCTTGTGTCCTCAGAGAGAGCTGCAGCTTTTTTTTCCTTCTGAAGGGTGTTCAAAATATGCTATTTTAAACATAATAATCCATAAATAAAACACAGAGCTTGCCAAAATAATTTTTTACCCATATATATAGGGCCTTTAGACACTGTTCTGAACCCTGATTTTCTCCTGAGATACAATTTAAGAGCTTAAAAATGTCTTTAAAAGACTTCCTATGAAATATGCAGGGTTTTTTTAAATTTGTGTTTCTATATGGCCAAATTGCTCTGTTGTGATAAATACTGTATGTAAAATTACCAGATTTCCTGGCATTCCATTTTTACAGGGGATACTGCATCATTAAGCATTGAAAGAATATAATATAACTATTGAAACTGCTTAACATATTTTGTAACCATAAATTATTATCCAAAAATATTTTTCAAGTAGATAAAAAGAGTTGTCAATTCTGCATAGTGAATGCCTCATAAGGGGCTCGTTTGTGGTTGAAAACTGAATAAAAGCAGTAAATTAAGACCAGACTTAACCATAGAGAAGCTGTAATCCATTGCAGATTTCCTTGGTGAATGAAGTATTGTTATGTGGATTTATCCTCCCTGCTTGTACAGTTAACCAGTCACATCTGGGGCCATAGTGCTGTCTGTGCTCACGGACAACTTGGTTTCACTAACCCCAAGGAGGGAAGCCCACTCTGGTTTGCCTCGTATCGATGAGTGCAAAAGAAACTTCACGATCATTTCACACGGGAGCCGCCTGTGAACAGGCGGATAGGATATTGAACCGCACCATTGTTAAGGATGAGAGGGGTATCACAAAATGAGCAGGCACTTGAGAAACAGCAAGTGACTCCCGGCGTCCAGGTTTCTAACGGAAGGGTGTTAGCAGAGGGGGCCGGGACAAAGCCAAGTGAAAAGGTGGGTGTGAAAAAAAAGACGGTGCGTCTGGGCTTTCTGAATGCAGTCAGAGCTGAGAACTGATGGAAATATGGTATACATTAAAGAAGCATCACTCATCATAAATATTCAATTTCAAGAATTTAAATAGTTTACAGACATAGAAGCCCTTGATGATTATTTTATCCAGCATTGTTGATTTTCCTCTGTTGTCTGTTGGCAGCCACCATAATTAATGAATAAGATCCTGGAAGCCCTGACAATGAGTCGGTTTAGTCTTCGGTCTGTGTATTTTTCTTTGTGATTACATGCCAATAACATAACTGATTTGCCTTCTCGTAAATTAAACTGGGGGGACCAAATAAGTCCTATTTCTGCTATTATTTTTTTTCAGAGCCCAATGTTTCCAAAGGACATTAACTTTGATTTCTCTGATGAAGGCTTGTGGCTGCGCCCCTCATGCTTTACGAAATACTACCAAGTCAGAGCCGAAAAGAAAACCGTAAGTGAATGTTATTTCAAGAACAGTTCTTTTTCATTATTTAGGAAAAATTTTCTCATACTTCTCTGTAATTCATCCCAATATGCTCACTTTGTAGGAAATGTGGGGAAAGAGGAGGGAGAGAGAATACACTTGTGAAAATGCCTTTTTATTCCACGGAGGGCTGATATTTAAAAATCGTAAGACTCCAACAGCTTTTTAAAACAGTATTTTTATAAATAAGGTCAGTTTTGCAAGAAAAAAAAGAGCTTATTTGTGAACATAAGTTACTACCTGTGCCTTACTATTCAGGTAAAATATAGGTAAATAAAGTATGGATATACTAGCTTGTTCGAGGATTCGAATCCTTCAGATAAAAAAAACTTTTTCTCAGATTTTTTTTTCAATATTGGAATATTGCTTTTCTTTTTAAGAGGGGAATATGTTTAGATTAATGAAACTGTTATCAGATTCAGCAGTTTTACAAAAGGATAAATAGGTGGTTTGCTCAAGGAAAGACCATTGGGACTTAAAGTGACATGGAACTCCTTGCATTAGTAAAGCAATCCCAGAAAACATCAACTCTTCTGAATATGTGATCTCTATTTAAGTAAAGAAAACCACAACTTGATTACACCCGTTACATCTTTACAAAAGTGCCTGTTTCTGAGGATAGCATAGTCTTAAAATCCCTAACACTGCAGGATATCTATCTATATCTATATCTATATCTATATCATCTATATCATCTGTACCATCCATAATACTTCTGAAGTTGCAAAGCTTTTCCTTCTAGTTAGTGAAAGGGGGTACTATGCTAGTTGTCTGTAAGTTTAGTTCAAATTGCCTGCAAAAATTGTATAAGTGCCTGAACCTAAAGACAATGTTTTAATCAAATACAACTACTTAAATCGCCCATCCCCTCCCTTCCCCAAACCCACACCCCTCCTAAGCTAAACAGAGAAAGCGTCAGTAGAACCTGTTATCAGCAGCCAATTACTCTTTGGTGCTTTGGAGTTATCTTTTCCAAAATGGTTGCAGATTGATCAAAATAACGATTTATTTGTATACTTTTCCATGGCTTCTGTGTACTGCAACAATTTAATAAAGTAATAGGACTTCTCCTTGAAAGAAAAGGTGCTCATTAGCGTTTGTAATACCATGTTGTGTGGCACGGTAAGTGTTGTGAAAAGGTTATGGATCTACTCACCGTAGCATCAAAAGTGTAAAGGTGATAGGCGAGATTCTCTTTGTTGCAAGTGCTGAGAAATAATCATTTAAAGGTCAGTTGCACTCAAGAAAAAAAAAAAAGAGAGAGAACATTTGTTTAATAAGTAACTCATTTTGGGATATGCTGCACTTTTAAAGGTTACAGAGTAGACCAATTTGCCAGTGATGTCAGCAAGAAGTACTATTAAAGTCATTGGTCCTATTAAAACAATCCTTCGTAAAATTCAGATTGCATGCCTTCTCACAGAGCCCAGCACACATCAAAAAAGTGCCTAAGCTATTTATCATGTGGTTTCAAGGAAACATTGCCTTCTGCACTTTACCTTAAGTACTCATCTCCTCTTAAAAGTAACAAAGAAGTATTAAGTGGGAAAATATGTTAGTACACACACACACACACACACACACACACACACACACCCCATTCCACACCTGACTCATTCTATTTTGCTTCATTCTTTCAGTTTTATTAATTTCTAAGAACATGCCTATATGCCATGGATTATAAGATTTCTCACTGTGTCCTATACCAATAACTGTCTTGCTAGAAACTCTTACATGAATGCAAAACTATTTCTATCCTTTCCTATTCTAAGAGCAACCTCCCTCCCTTACCCTTCCTTTGAAAAGACAAAGAGAATGGGGTTTGGCAATGAAATGGAATATTAATCTCATAAGCAGACAAAAGAGAAGTAACAATAATTATAATATGGGTAAAATTTGTTTAATACCAGTTTTTTTTTTAACAGCTGAACAAAGGTAGTGGTTTATTTAATATAGCTTTTGTACTATTAAAATCTTTGCCTTCAGGGAACTGATGCACAAGAAATAAAAGTTATTTTGTTGTTTTTATAGTTAGCATTTTCGAAGCAGTGTTTTAAACTGGCAATACTTTTCTCTAGAAGATCAGCTCTTGCCCTGAGATGAGTATATGAATAAAAAAAACTTCAAGAAAAAGCTCTGCAGAAAGCAATCCCTTTGAACACTTGATTGCTTTAGAATTACATTTACTTTTTTTACTCTTTACATAGGTTGCAAAGCTCTCTAGTTGTGACATTTTGTTGGTGGTAAACAATGAGCTCTTAGATTTTTATAAGAAGTTGATTTTTAACATATGCTAAATAAGAAATTTAATCACAGTTTAAAACAATATATTTTCATGCAAACTTCTAAGGTTCGTTATTCAGACTGAAGGAAACTAGAAAGCTTATAACACTTGCCCTATTGTAGAGTAAGAACTGTCTTTATGTACATAAGACATTGGCAATTAGAAGAAAATACGACACTCTTATTTCCAGCAACTTAGCTAAGAATCAAGTTATTCTCTTCATTTGCCTTGCTTTTCATTTGAAAGAGAGCAAAATCTATTTCCTGGGCAATTTTGCAGAGCAAAGATATTAATACTTTGGGGTTTAATTGTATCCTGTGTTTAAATACACTGTGGGTGAAACCCCAGACCTCTGCTTAATTGCTGTGAGAAAATAGCCTGATTTCTCTGAGATTAGGCACACGCTTATGTATACTTTGACCCAAGAGTGCCTCCTTCAGAATTAATCTTCTAAGGTAGAGGGATTTGCTTTTATATGTGCAGCAGGCCCATTCGTGACAAACGGGGCCTAATAAACTAACTTCACCCCCCAGACCCTGCTTTTGCTGTCAACGTTTTTCTTCATCTATTCATTTCACACATCTCTTGTCCGGTGGTTTATTAGCAAAACCCTGAACTGGGCGGGAGGAATAATTTTAGTGGTGTTTTTTAATTAGAGCTCTTTCAAATTTAAATCAAATACTTCAGAACTAAAATTGTAAAAACAAAAACAAAAACCTTTCATTTTTACCAATAAAACATAAAAGGTTCTAAAATAACTCCATTTAGGTAAATACCATAGCCCTGTGAAAAGGCAAACAATTCATATTTACTTAAAATTTTGTTCTGCAGCTGTATTTTGTTGGATTCGTCTAATGCATGAAAGCACTTTTTCTTTCCCATCAGCAACATCAGAATTGTTTTTGCAAGATGTAGCAGAATGTTCTGGTTTTTAAATATTTATATTAATCAAAGTTAGGGCTGTTTATATTTTTTGGCAATAGGGCTTTTCTTTAAAAGTGATGCACTTCCATTTAACTAAACAAAAGTGTTGAAACAGCCTGTCATATAAACTTCAACATAGTACAGTTGGTAATAGAAATTTTGAAGACAGGAAGAAAGGGGTGCTAGTTTCTAGGCTTCAGGTTAAACATGGATTAATAAAATGTGCAACACTGGTAATTTCCAAGATTTTCCTGAGGAAATGTCATTCACTGCCACTTATAAACTATAGAGTCACCTGGTTGAAAGGTTTGCATTCAAGTTTTTGCTCTGCTTTCTTGGGGCATTGGTCAGTCAAACCTAAAAACTGGCTAAAAAAAATGACAAACCACTAAAGCTTGGGGCTTACTAAATCATTCAATTCCTTAAAAAGCCTCCTTTATATTTTATATATTTCTAAACTCTTTTAGTAACGAACATTACTTCACATTACTTACCTGCAATCTTCTCTATTTGTGAGCAGAAATAGCTCAAATTGAAGCACTTTTTAGGTCAAATCCCCAACTATTGTTATTGCTATAAGGTTTGATTGGCTAATACAGAACCGTATGGTCTATCTAGACTCTTGTAAGGAAACAGAGTCTTTATTGAAGACATTTAAACAGCAAGCCAACCTTGATGAAACTCATTCATAATTATATATAACTCTCTTATAGTTTGGATGATCCCAAATATTCTGGAAGCTTAGTAAGACAGCTTTTAGTCGATGGGGATATTGTTGTTGTTTGTTATTTTCATTTAGTAGTTCAAATTATATTAATTCACTTCTGTGGAAAGGAATCCTAAACAGGAAGAATGGGACCAGAGCACACACTTAGTTCCTAACATAAAAGTTATAAATGCTTTTGTTTTCAGGGAATGGTACGCACCTATCAAACAAACAGGAAGTATTATTATGCATTGCAGGCAGAGAGGCTAAAGGTCTCCTGTTCGAACTTTTGGCCTTTCCAGAATCTTGATCCTGCATTATTGTGTTTAACTTGTAAGTCTTGACCAGTAGCTGACTCTGAGAAAACATTTCCTGACATCATTTTCACAGGTGACATGGGATTATTATGCTTGCCGTTTCATTTTGAGTTGAGAATGGAAAGTCCAAGAGTGGCTTCTGGTTAATACTTCATACATGGTCTTTTAATTACCAGCTCAGGCTAACTCACTCACTTGACCTCTAGCACTCCAACTTCATTTTCAAACATTGGTTAAAATAATCAGTACACACACACACACACACACAAACATACAAAGACATTTAAAGGGGCAAAAGATGTGCCATAATGGAACAAAAGAGAAGCAGTCTCTTTTTAATCACCTCATTCGTAATATAAAAGTGGTGAGAGAAGAGCAAAAAAGGTCAGGGTGTAATAAATATAAAATTTAAATCTCTAAACCAATTTACTTTTTTTATTGTCCCAGCTAAAGCCAATAAAAGTAAACATGTATTCCGCTTTGTCACACTATTGTGGATTATTATTAATATCTTGTTTCCAATTTTATGCAATTTTGGTATAATCCAAATCTGTGCATTATCTTGGGCAGGGGGTTTTGCTTGAGGTAATTGACATTACATAGTCTAAAGCACAGAAAGAAGAAAACATATCTATGATCTTTACTCATTTCCAAACAGAGGGGGATAATCAGACCATTTCTTCTATTGTGTGCCCTCCCTCTTCATTCAGAGTTTCTTTTGAAGTCAGAGGCAGCTGGAGCGGCTGAGGCTGAGAAATGTGGCTGGAGGAAAAGAATGAATATTATTGGGTCAGATTCTTATAACCAGGTTTTATGCCACATTAACCATCGAGTTTCCCATAAAGCAGAACCTTTTATTATCATTTTTACCTTCTGGTTTATTCCGAGATCACTAATGCAATTTCTAATAGTATACTGGGGATTTTCTTAAGTATACTTATTTGAACTTCCTAGGGCTGGATCCACAAGCCAGCCCCTCACAAACATAAATAAATGTTTTTAGAAAAATCTGAAAACTTAGAACACACCATTTCCTTCTTATATGAAAATCTAGTTGAATCAGAAACACTAGCCCAACAAACTGGCCTCCAGAGTGACTACAATGTAGAGAAGTTATGAAGGGGGTAAGGGGTTACACTGGTAAAGCAGTTTTCTCTCAACTCTCCTTTGCTTGTTACCACCCTGAAGGAGAGATCAAACATAGGATTGCATTTATGTCACTGAGCTAAATTTCAGGCTTGCTATCGCCACTTGAAAGCTTATTTCTTAGCCCCTGTTTGCTGCAAATCACAGGGACTATGAACTGATGTGAATTCATAGCAGGTAAATTTACATAAACTCACGTGATACTGGACTAAAGGTTGGTCTGTCATTTGGCTTAAGTGAACAGACAGTTGTTCAAAGACTCTCTTCAGTGTTTAAGTCTCCAACAAGAGGAAAATGATTGAAGGCAAGAACTAGAATAGAACTGACCAGCCTGTCAGACTGAGGAGCTATCTAAGAACATGCCAAGTTCTTCATCAATTTATAGATAGATAGATAGATAGATAGATAGACAGACATATATACATATCTAGAGAGAGAGAGAGGGAACTATGATAGGCAATGTGATCACTATTGCTGATACAAAAACAAATTATATGGCCCTTGAAAATTTTTAATTTATGTTTGGGGGAGAAGACATGTTAATAGACAATCACAAAAAATAAGACAAACATCATAGCACAGGTGAGTACTTAAGTTAAGAAAAGAGTTCTTAACTCTTCCTGGAGTTTGGAAAAAAAGTTCAGAAGTTGGTCAATAACAGCTTCACAGAAAAGTTGATAAACAATCTGTGTCAAAATAGAAGCAGTTATTCACAAGCAGAAGAGGTGAGAAGAGCCATCCCAGGCAGAAGGCATAGCATGGATTCAAACCAGAGCATACCTAATTCAGGGAATAAAAAGTTGTTTGGTCTGACTGCAGCACATGGTGTATAGGCTGTAGAGTGGGGGAAGAGTCTACTGGAATTCAGTTCAAAATTTCAGCCCAATAAACAAAACTTGTATGCCATGAGACTTTATCCGGGAAACAGTGGAGAGTCACCAAAATGTTTAATCAGGGGAGTAACATGATCAGAATTGTATCTGAAAAGATAGTCGACATCAGTACTGAAGAAGTCTTGGAGAGTAACAAGAATAGAATAATAGTCATCAGTTATAGTAAAGTTGAGCATTGAAAATGAGTAAGAGCCTCTGCTATGGTAATAAATTAAGGAGAGACCTTAGGAGGTGGCAACCTCAATCTATACAACTTTCCAAGTGCATCCTATCAAATTTGGGTTACAATGATATGGGTGAATAAAAGATTTTTCCAGTATACTTAATAGTAGAAGATAGTATCCTGAGTCAGAATTCCTAGAAATAGGGCTTGAGATTGAAATTTTTCTGAAAATGATTTATTAGGGGAGTGCTTTCAGAAGAGGAGCAGGAGAATAGTATAAAAGCACTTAGCCAAGAAAGATGTGGTCTCTGCTGAAAACTAGCTCGGTCTGGTCCCTTGGAGGACTCTGGAACATAAGTTGTACCACAGGATTAATGCCTCTCATTCCCAGGAAGGGTAACTGTCGGCTGAGTTGGAAATGTTCCACTGAGGGCAAAGCTTTGTCAAGAGTACAGCCATGAGCTGTTAGCAGCCAAACACAGCCACTAGTGGATGGGAGAGACACCAACAACTGTCCTGCACTCCATCCCTCAGGCTGCCCAGACCCACTTGTTTCTTATATCAAGTTTGCTGCTTCCAGGCATGGCTGCTTCAAGATTCTAGTTGGCCACATTTTCTGGGCTGATGCAGAAAAGAAGAGGTAGCAGAGGCTTCGCTTCCCCTACTGCAGTTTGTTCCAAGGCTATGACGTAATCATCATCGTCCTCCTCCATCCCCTTTCTCAATACTCCTCCTTATGGGCTGGTGCTTCTGCAGGTCTACATAGATTGCCTTTAAAGGTAAACCAAGTCATCAGCTCTAGGTATCTGAGCTCCAGCTTACTGTGCTCTGATCAAGTTGTTGTTGCTGTACTTGCCTACTACAGTTAAACAAAGTATGGGAACACCAAAATACATCCCAACAGATCACCTGAGTGACAAACACATTGCTGCTTGCCTCTGAAATGCGGCCTCATTGATGCCTCCTCATCATAATCAGGTCAGTTTCTCTGCCAATATAGTAACATTTTTTGTGGCGCCAGCTAGTCTACTGGCACAAAGAGCCCAAAGTAATATGGCAATAGCTTTATGTTTACTGAGACTCTTGCTCTATCCCCTGGTGGGAGTTTCCCTCCACTGGGACCTAAGACCTAAGAACAAAGTTGCAGACATGGCTCACTGGAAGTGATAGTGAGTGGGTTCATTTTATATATACCCTTTGATTCCTGGACTCATATAGTACATACATATCAGGGATAGAGCACTGTATAATATCTACTGGTTTGAAGTGTGTACAAAACCTAGGGCACCTGTGTGGCTCAGTCCGTTGAGTATCTGACTCTTGATTTCAGCTCAGTTCATGATCCCAGTGTTGTGGGATCGAGACCCTCATTGGACTCCGTGGTGAGCATGGAGCCTGCTTGGGATTCTCTTGCTCTCTCTCTCTCTCTCTCTCTCTGCTACTCTCGCTAGCTCATACTCTCTCTCTCTCTCTCTCTCCCTCTCTCTCTCTCTCTCAAATAAAAAAAAAATAAAGTGTATACAAAACCCTAAAAGATGGTACTCATCCTCAAAGGAGATCATCTCTATGTTGGTCCCTTAGTGTACCAGAGTAGAGTAGGGCCAATGAACCTTAGGCTCACGTGTCCACTGCCATACTTCCTCTGCCATAACGTAAGTCCCTTGGTCCAATTAACATGATGTTATACATACAGTGCACACACATGATATTATGCAGAATGTCCAGATAGTTCCAGTCCCTGAAGACTATATGTTTTTACTAAGCTGGAGAATTAAAAAACACTAAGACGAACCAAGACTGCTGTTGCTCATCCATATGAATGCAACTTCTGATCCTCCTTCCTGACGGGTATTGAAAATAACATATTTGCCAGAAAAATAGCCACATACCTTATATCCAGTCGATTTACCCTAGTGCATATATCACATACCACAGGGCAGCTGCAATTGAAACTACAATTTGGTTAACTTGGCAGTATTCCACTGTCATCTGCCATGATCCATCTAGTTTGTGTATCATCTTGACTGTTGAATAACATGGAGGAAGGATGGGGATCCTCATCCCTGCATTCTTTAAATCTATGAGAACGGCACTAATCTGTGCAATTTTCCTTAGGATGTAATCATTGATTTTGATTTACTAACTTGACAAGGAAGATAGTTTGAAGGACTTCCACATGGCTTTTGCTAATGCAATAGCTGACCGAGAAAACAATGGTACAATTCTACCACCTTCTAATAGATCCATTCAATTATACATTCAAGGACTAGGTAAATGACCACTGGTGAACATGTAGATTCAGTAGACCCACCATGAAATGAACCTGGGTCAGGACTCTATTTATTTCCCAAAATTTATATATCCCCACTTTAACAGGGATCCATTAGGTGCTCATACCTGTGTCTAATAGTCCCAGACAGATCTGGATATCCCTTTTCCCCTAGTGTACAGTGTCCTGAGTAAATAGCTCTTGTCCTTTGGGGGAAGGACTAGGGAGTCATACTTCCCATAATGTTGCAGTTCCTTTCACATGGGACCCAGACTTTCCTTCAGTCAGTGGGTTCTAGGTCTGAGAATTGGCTCAGGTCTGAAGACAGAGCAAGAGATTAAGATTTTCATTCAGTGGCCTGATCTTCAGCCTTTTGCTCATCTATTTTTTTTAACTCTCTTGATTATATATACAAATAATACCCTGATTGTCTGCTCATCTCTCTTTCATAAGGTAACCGTTTGCACAGGTACTTTGGAATATCCTCCACCCTCACCCAGAGGACAGCCATTCCAGCCTTGCTTCCCTTTGTGGTGATTGCACCCATTTTGCTTCTGATAGTCAGTGTTGCCCTGTAATCTGGAACCTACCATCCCCATTGCTATTCAATGGACTCCAGCCCTATAACATCATCTCCAACTATCCCTGGTCTAAAAAGAACTATATTTTTCGAGTGTTGGAATCCCCTTCATCAGCAGATTCTTCACCATGTTAATAAACAGACTGTTCTGCAAGCCCTCCTGAGGAACATAGTCAAATATGGATTTTTCAGTCTTACTTAATAGACCCTTTTTTCATCTCTATTTCCTATCTGTTTTTTCCTTCCTCCACTATCTATTACTACTACAGTGCTGGGATCTCTAATTTGTTTCATGTGAACCATCACTTTTTCCAAAAAACCAAGAGCTATCCCAGTCTTATATTAGACATATCATCCAGGACCTTGCTATGGTGTTATATTCTGTGTCACAACACAGTAACCCCGTATCTGTGAACAGTTCATACGCTTATATTCTGCCCGTGTTGATCCAGCTCCTTCTGAGTCCCCTCCCAGGCATACATGTCAGCCAATGCCTGGCACTTCCTTGGTATATAGCTCCTCTCCTCCCCTAGTCAAGAGATGTTGACATGCAACCCTACGATAGAAGGTACAGACAGATCCTGAAGATTGCTTGGTAAGGAGCCTGTCTCATCTGAGACTTCATTATAGCCTTCAACACAGAGGATCTCTTTTCCAACAAGACAGAAAGAGCTTACTAGCCACTGAGACAGACCAAAAGCGTTCAGAAGAACATATAGATTTAGGGTTTTCAACGACCCAAATACCCTTATCTCAAACTTCAAGATGTTACTCCTTTTCTTTCAGGGCTCTGACTTTGGCCTAAAAGACTTGTCTCTTTAAATGCTTCTAGTGAATCTTTCTGATTCCCACAGTTTGCTTTAAAGTCTGAATAACAGATCTGAGCCCATGTGGCAGATAGACTCTTAGATGGCTCCCAATGAGCCCTGTCTCCTGGCATTTACACCATCGTATAATCTACTCCCTTGAGTATAGCCTGGCCTTCAGATTTGCTTTTAGCCAACAGAATATGGCAAAGGTGATGGGATGGCACTTCCTTGATTAGGCTACATAAGATTGTCACTTTCTTATTGCTAGCAGAATCCCTCTCTTGATGGCTTTGATGAATTAATAGGACATATTAGAGAGGCCCATGTGCAAGGAACTAAGGATGGCCTTCAGCCGACAGCTCATAAGGAAATGAATCTTGTCAATAATCACAGGAGCTTGCCAGTGGATGTTTTCCCAGTCAAGCCTTCAGGTGAGACTGTGCCCCAAAAACACATTGATCGTAGCCTTCTAAAAGACCCTATAGCAGAGGACCCAGTAAGCCATCCCTCAACTCCTGACCCATAGAAACAGGGAAATAATCAGGATGTGTTGTTTTAAGCTGTTAAATTTGTGCTAATTTGTTACACAGTAGTAATAACAAATAGCATGTCTTTTTCTCTCTTCAGTGCATGAATGGTACTCACAGTCACTCAAATGCACAGTCCTTACAGTTTCAATTTCTTTATACCTCACAAAACAAAGACCTTAAACTAACTACAGCTTTCCCTTCTACCTATATCTCAATCCAACTTACCACCATGGATGAAAATTTTAGCCTGGAGTTAGCAAGATTTTTCTAAAAAGGAACTGCTAATAAATATTTTAGGTTTTACAGGCCACATAGTGTCTGTCTCAAAACTCAGCTCTATCTGACAATACATATATTAATGATACAATACAATACTAATGAATGTGTTCCAATAAAACTTTATTTACAAAAAGCAGTGAGCTGTGTTTAGCCCAAAGATTATAGTTTGCTGACCTCTGTTCTTAATCACACTGCTACAGAATGCCAGGGACTGACAATATTGTACCTACCACCAGCGGCACAGAGGACTCACTGCCATCTTCCTCCGGGATTCTGTCTTAGACTCTGCCTCCTGGGACTGTTCTAATACAATCCATCTTGGCTTCAGTTCTCTAAAAGCAAAATTGAAGAAAAAGATTCTTATAAAAGGGATTTATTGAGGTAGTGCTCTTAGGAGAAGTCAACGGGAGGAGAAAAAGGAGGGCAAGGGAAGAAGCCAAGTAAGGATGTGTGCTCAGCTGAAAACTGTGAGAGCCTTGTCCTCTGGAGCACCAGAGTTCAATCCATCCTTCAATCCACCTTTTATACTCCACATAGATCAGTTAATCGTTGGCTGCTGGCTGCCCCCATGGGGGTACATTCCAAGCAAGGCAGCTTCCTTCTCAGAAGATAAAGGCAGCTGTGAGCCTTCAGTAACCATCCCTTACAACAGCTGGAGAATGGGTATTTCTCTATTCCTCCTGTGGGGCAACTTTTACCCCAATTAAACTCTTCTTAATAGCTGCGAAACATTTTCATTAATTTCTAAATGCAAACAGGGTGGTTGAAATAGAAAGAATATTAATGATGCTTAAAGGGATGCAAATCCTTTCTGTTAGTTTTTGTTATATATTCTATAGGTGTTGCTGATTATCACTTTTCTTGGCCTTCTGTCATACTGCAACCAACATAGTCAACGTGGATAAAATTGAAATGATGGTTTGGGGAGCAATTAAGGAAAACATGGGCAGTACCAAGATGCAAAACAAATTGCTCAAAGTTCTCATATCATCCTGTGTTTGCTTTTACGTAGCATAACGGCAATCACCATGGAGACCAGCTGCTTCAGTTTCTCTCCCACTCCATCCCATACTAGCTGTGTGAGCTTGAGCAAGTTATCTAAATTTTCCTGCCTCCACTTTCGATCTGTAAAATGGTGCTAATACCACTACCTAGCACATATGGTCATTGTAGGGGAATAACTGAACTATTACATGCAGTGTTTAGAACAGTACTTGGTACGTAGTACACACTTAGTAAATGTTAGCTTTATTATTATTATTGGTGGTGTTATATTGATTGTGACCACTAACTTACCTATTGTTATATTCACGTAACTTTTGCAGTGTATCCCTAATTTCACTGTGTGTTTTGGGCCCTATTTCTTTTCCCTGCACTTCAGAATGCTAGAAAATAGATTAGTCTGCTCTCAAGCAAAAATCCAAGTCTCTCTTTTTTTTAACCCCCAAGGGAATTATGCAAAGAGCCATATTCTTGAGTCCCTTCTGTGGAGAAAGAGTCGGAAGTGTCCCTATGCTTCTAAACGAAAAGCAAGAAAAAAAATTTTTTTTTCTCTTTCCACATCTGAGATAATTATCCTTTAGTAATAAAACTTCAAGAGCCTCCAATTTGGGGAAGGTAAAATTATGCCTTCATTTCCCAGTCTTCATCGTCTGTCTGGCATTTCTACTTCTCTTCATCTTTATAAATCAGTACCTCTCTTCATCTTCATAAAGCACTGCTCAATAAACAAGAAAATAGGAACCAAGCAACAGGGAGATTTGGAAGAAAGATCACAATTATTTGACGAGTGAAACATCTGGAAAGGGATCATGGCCTCATTATCTTTCAAAAATAGTTAATGAAACTCTTCTTTTCATGCACTGATGAATTGTAAATGGAAGTACTTGATCAAACATTAACTAAGAAAATGTACGCCAATGCTGTGGATAAGTCGTCATTCTGTTCCATAAATATTTATTCTGACGATAGTTTTTAAACCAACCAGCTTCCTTTTTATAAGGAAAATTTAAGTTGGTATATTTATTTTAGATTATATTACAGAACTTTTCAACAGTTGGGATTCTTAAAAACATTTGTTCAGTTCCTTTTCCGATTTAAAATTAGTGGCTTAAATAGAATGAATCATAATGTAGTAGGAATTCACTTATCAGGTGTAAGATTGGTCTCACCTATTACGGGGTCTTGCCGTTTCCTTGGCAATGTAAAAGTCTGTCTTAAAAAATTAGAAATCTTTTTGAAATCCTGCTCTTCAGAAGGAAAATATTTAAAATCAATAAGATATTGGACGGCAAACAACTTTTGAAGGATAATTAAGCTAAAGAACTAAATTATTTCAACCCAAATGTGATTATGCCTTTCTGGTTTAAAAACTCCTTCTTTTCATGAGGACTTAAGTATAATATAATAAGGAACAACTGGTGTCATGTGAGCCAACAAATGCATTAAACATCAACACACTGCATTGTGTCTATTTGATTCAATCACCAAACACTTATTGAGCACCGCCTAAATGCCAGGGACTGTGACAGGTGCTAAGGATGCAAAAATGAAACGGTGGTTACTGCCTTCAGGGAATTCATAGTCTAATGCAGGCGACAGCCACTGTGCCAACTACCTATAATCCAGTATGACAAGTGCTGTACTAGCAGCATCAGCTAAGTATTATGGGAGTAGGGGAAAAAGTGACTGTCCAAATGTAGTTTAAAATTGGGAAATGCAATAAGAAGCTTTTAAGAACCAAAGATCACCAAAAAAAAAAAAAAAAAAAAGTGGCCAGTACATGAATGAAGATTAGCAAAAGCCTTCCTGGGAACAAACAGAGAGGAAAATACTTAACTGTAACCTCCCAGGAAAAGCAGGAGAGTAAAATCACTTAAAGAGCCACAAGATTGCGAGCACTGTCCCTATTTTAACATCTCAGGAATTTTTTGATGGGAACTCAATTGTGACTCTAATGACAGACCTCATTCTGTGCAATAGTATCCCTGTAACTCTGAATGTGCTAAATTTCACTGAAATCATTAGCAATTACAAAAGATCATTATTTCAACATGGCAGAGTCAACCACATGCTAAAACTAAACTTGCACTGTGGTCTATTCAGTTCTGGAGTAAATGTGGTCACAATCGATTAATATCTAAGAAAATTATGGTGTGACAAAAAGTGAAATGCTCAGCTCTTCATTCAGTTAATAAAACTCATTTAGTTGGCAAGATATAATTACATGAACCTGCAATGTGAATGTATTGCTTTGGCATTTGCTTTCATATCTTTTTAGGCTGTTAAATATATTGCCAACCACAGTTCTTTATCTGACTTATCTTTTCCCCCATTTTGCTTCCAGAATGCATAGGTTTTACTTTTTTTCTTCTAGACAGGTTTCTGAGTAAGGAGGTTAAAGTGTATGAAGTGAAAAAAAACTTTTTTTTTTTCCTGAAAAATTTCCCACACATTTTATTTGGGAGGTATCACACAAGGTTGAATAGTCTTTAATCCTCTGCTCAATGTTCAACTTGCTTTTTTGGTTGGTAAGCGGACACTACCATCTAAAACTACAATTTCTTAAACTTTCCTGTCTGTCTTCGAACTGTCTGGCTTGGGTCAGCAAGATTTTTTTTTAATCTTTTTGAATATTTGAATAATGTGATCAACTTTTAAAAGCACTCTACAAAATAAAGATTTAAAGTCGGTCCCTGCCCTGTGAATTTATAATAGAATGAAAAGGCACCTTCCAAACAAAGAAAAGATGGAAAGATATTCTTCCCTAGAAAAGTAAGTGACAATAGGGAAAAGCCAGTCGTCTCTTTTTTAATCCTTTGTCTTTGACATCTGTCATTTTGGGGAGAGGGTTATGTGGGTGTTGGGTGGTATTACAGTAGCAGTTGAAAAGTTCTCTTCACCTCGTGGTGCGAATTTACCCTTTGTCAATAACTTCCTATCTTACATTATTATTTTCTGATATTTTCTCTTTAGCTCACAGCTAGAGAATTTTATTTGCAAATATCTTACGCCTTTGAATTAAAGTTTGTAAAACACAATAGCAGCAACAATAACGATTAAAATGTATGAATTTATTAGTGTTGCACAATTTTCAAAGCATATATATATATATATACACATATGTATGTATATATATACATATGTATATACACATATATATGTGTATGTATGTATATATACATACACATATATATATATGTATACATATACATATATATGTATATGTATATATATTCATTTGATCCTCACAGTAACTGTGTGGATAGGTGGGGCAGGTATATTGTTTTTCTTTTACATGTGAGAAACTTCAATACTTTAACTGGGTTCCCTCAGAAGCATATTCTAACACAAGGCGCAGTAGTTCCCCCTTATCTGCAGAGGATACGTTCCAAGATCCCCAGTGGATGCCCAAAACCATTGTAGTACCAAACCCTATAGAGACTTTTTTCCTGTACCACACACCTATGATAAAGTTTAACTTATGAATTAGGCACAGCAAGAGATTAACAACAATAACTGATAATAAAATAGAACAATCAAAACAAGATGCTGTAATGAAGGTTCTGTGAATGTGGTCTCTCTCTCTCTCTCTCAAAATACTGTGTTATATTGTATTCACCCTTTTTCTTGTGGAGCTGTGAGATAAAACGCTTCCATGATGACATGAAGCGAAATGAATGACATAGGCACGGTGACGAAGGGCTAAGCTACTGCTGACCTTCCGACAACACCTCAAAAGGAGCATGTCTGCTGCCAGATTGCCATTGACTGCAGGCAACTGAAACCATGGAAAGTGAAACCCAGATAAGGAGAGACTACTGTAATTTATTCGGGAGCCGATCCCAGGAAACAATGGCAAGGCACGAGAAATGAGACAGGGAGTGGAAAAAGGGCAGTAAAAAGTGCATTTTCGAGGCAGTTCCAATTTGGCAACTGGAGCTCAATCCTGCTGGGGTCCCCTAAAAGATGGTGCAGAACACAACTTGGTATCAGCCCAGCCAAGGGGCAAACAAGCTGGTGTATCTATTTACCAACTCTCCATTCATCGTTGGTTGAACTTGGCCACCAGAGAAAACAATTCTAGGGCATTTCTGGCTTGCTTTATTTGCAAAGTGAGCTTATTCTCAGAGAAAAAAAAAAAAAAAAGCCCTCAGCCCCAGAGTCACTGGTGTCAGTCTTCAGGTGCGGAGGTGGATGCTGAGTGAATGAAGGTCGGAGATGAAGTCGGCTGACCAGCCTCAGCAATGGTGGGACTCATCAATCCAAAGTCACACATCTAATGTAGGCAAGGCCAGGAAGGGAGCGGGTAGGTACCCTGATACAGTAAAATAGATGGCATTCC